AGGAACATCTGTTGAACCTGACCTTCGGTGATATATTATTCGTCTTCGTCTGTATGATGAAACAGCGATGTTAATTCTAATTAGGCTATGACTATCCCAAATATACCACTTATTATGAATTATAACAATCCCGTGCCATTTTTAATGCTCCTGTAGCCATTTTAAGTTCTTCTGGTGATAGTTTTTTGACCGGATTAAAACCATCCCAGATAGTTAGCCAGCAGAGATAGTTGAAAAAAAAAATCGTTATTTGGTGTGGACAGCGGTGATTTTATAAGCTTTGCGAGAATAATTATTTTTATACCAACGACTGGTAGAAACTGAGAGGAAAAGCCTTGAAGCTTCGCTTCTTTTCCTACAACATATAGTAAATGTGTTTAAATTAAAAATCGCTCAATAATGAGCAGTATTACCAAATGGTTTATGTATCTTGTTCGTAATTTTAGAACATATTGCCATTCTCTCTTTCCATCGCCTATTCGCACTTGAATCCGACTAATGTCGAATTCTGATAATTTTTTTTCTGAGAATAATATTATGTAACGGTTTTTTATCATTAGTTTTGCACCAAGTAAGACAACTTTGCACAATTAGATTTGGAAACATTCTCAGACCTTAGCGAAATATATTCAATTATAAATTGAATGTAATTGGAATAAACTGGAGATAACTGCTGATCAATATCGTTTATTTGCGGAGCAAAGGAGCGCAAAGCGCTCTCTCCTTCATCGGCTGTATATATTCTTCATCAGAGCTTAGATGCGAAAGAAAGCATCCTTGTGGAACGAGTCTCACACTGCTCTTGACGTCTCATCTTAATCATACCTTTTTATGCCTTCAATTAATAGCGCTTCGCGTGTCAAAATATGCGGACATGTTTGTCACCGTGAAAAATTCTGTCTTTATGAAAAATATTTCATAGCGTGGCACTTTTTCTATAAATTTTGGGGGCTTTAAGCCGTTTTGTTTCTTTCTTGATTGTTTTTTTACAGTTATCACTATTGTCACTATGAAAATAAAACTTCTAGAAAAAAAACGAAACTTTTTTCTGACATACTTTCCAATAACCAATAATGTATACTTTCAAAAAATTATGAGAACATCTACAAAAAAAAAGAGAAAAAAAGTAAAGAAGTTCGATTTTTCATAGAGACTTGAGGTTCTCATAACAAAGAGCCATTATTTCAAGGTCATTTTTTATCACCTGTAAGTCCCTGGAGCCAAGGTAGGTAGTGGGCACAGCCACTATGTAGAAGCCATATTTTTGGCAGAGAGTTTCAAAGCAGAGACGTGTTTTCCCAGAACCGCTAACACCAAGTATTGTGGTCAACGCTGCATCATAGTTATCTGGACAGATTTTTCCTAAAATGTCGACTCATACATTTTTTGTATACAGGTTTGCACAACCGGATCATAGTGCTAGAAAGGACTCCAGCGTTCTAAAAAACATAAAAAACTGGTTAACTTCGTCACTGTAAATTTTTTTGTCACCATGAAATTGATAGTGACAAATTTTTCTGCGAGCAGGGCGCTCTGCAGCCATGCATAAAGTTTGCGCATATCCATTTTCTATCTGACACGACCGGAGCGAGGACGCTTTGCGTCTAAAACTAATATCAACTTAGTCCCATTTTGCAGTGGTACCACCACCATCTTCTCCAGTTTTTTCGTTGATAATAATCTTTAAACCGATACTTGCCGGAATGAGCTCTACATACACGAAACATAGAGAATGTCAACTTACCGCATTCTTTACAAGGTACGCGCGTAGGAGCCTTCCAATGAATTTTACACCCCTCAGATCGATAACAACTTTTATTACAAATTTTACCAGTACGGAGAATATAAGGACAACAATAGAATCCCATATTAGCTATGCTAGTTCGCTAATTAATTTTTTTAGCGCAGGCGCTCTGTATCTAACACTAATGTTTCTAATAAATAATCAATTATTTAATTATTTTTTATTTGATAACCACCGATAATATAGTTTTAAAAAATGTGAGTGCACTTGCAATGGATACCCAAAACACTAATGAAATGCAAAACATTGTTGCTTCTGAGTTCGAAAATAATGGTAATGGCGATAGCGCCTTCTACCACTCGGGCATAATGCCAAGAGTGTAGCCGAATATAATTATAAAATACGTGATGATTCTGTACATCCAAGAGAATTTCTTGGTACCGATAGTGAAGATGGTATAAAGACTCTACAGATCACATAGGTCATTCATTATGAATTTATTGGTGATGACCCACTTCGTCCACTTATAGATTTCGATCTGCCCCAAGAAACCCTAAATAGTATCAAACCAATACTTACACGTATACTCTTTTTTGTCGTGCCTTTAAAGAAGTATGCTTAGAGGTATACCCAGATTGGAATAATCTCTCCTTGGCTATTGCTGAGAGTAGTGATCCGAAAAAAATGTCTCCATATCTCAACTTTTGGCATGAGACTTGGCCTGTGCTTTGTTCACCGAGCTTGTATGTAATAAACTCCTTCCATCTCTACAGAACAAGAATGTGCTTGACAATATTGTCAACAAAAGATTATTCTCTTTGCGAATGTTGCGTTCACCAAAAATAGATAAAGATTCTGGTGAACATATACGGATAAAGAAAGCACTATTATTATACCCAAAGAAAGTACACGTACTATCTTTGATTTCATGATCCGTCCTCCCAACGATGAATCGCCAATTATAGAAATTATTTGTTCAAGAGTTGGAATCAGTAAAAATTCGTAATGCAAATAGTGAAACCACTAAAGCCGAATTCGAAAAGTTACTCAAAGAAGCAAAATCGAGGGATATAATCTTTCATATCCAACTGACGCCTTTCCATTAACACGCACAACCTCCTCCCATTGTCCGTTGTGTGATCGAGAACATGGTAGTAATAACGCATATATTAATCGGAATAAAAAGTTATATAGCTTTTACTGTCATCGTGTCAATCAGAAAAAAGAGCCAGGTGCAAGAAAGCCCTCATTAAAGCTTACTATTAATGGAACAGCCTTGGATCAAGAAAAAAGTCTCCCAAATCCAGTGAAATTAAACCGATCAAGGATTTCTGATCCAAATGACCATTTTGTATGGGGTGACTTGTTACGTATGTGTGCCTCAGATAAAAGATATTCTAGTAATGAGGTCTATGAAGCAATTCAAGCATCGATTGCTTGTATCCAAAAGAAAACGAGAACTTGGATACTTAAACATAAAAACTCTGCACCCTATTTTGATATAGAACCTAAATTAAACCTAGCTGATTATAAAGTTAATATAATTGAATATTAACATCTCTGATACTAACTAGTGGTACAATTCTTTATGATGATGTAGATTTTCTACCATACCGCCTCAAATAGCCCCATACCAGAAACCAACTTCTTTAACCACTTTCCTGGATTCAAAGCTCACCAAGCGACCAAGATTAATCCCGCCATTATGGATCCCACTCTTTGGCATGTAAAAAATGTAATTCAAATACTTCTGGTACTGGATGGCGTATCTAGTACAATATCCAATGAAAGCCTGGCACGATTCCGGTATTGCGTTCTTTACCTCGTTGTGGAAGAAATATTCTGGTTGATTTTCTTGGTAAGAACGTCTTTGGATCAGGGCTTTTCTATGCAACTTCTGAGCTTGGAAAAATTTTGGGGCGATTCAATAGTCGAATTAATGGAAGGAGAGAATGGGTGTATTTCCTCGATCATTCTAAAATCGTGAATAAATTACGTGAAACAATCGGTGAGATCGAACAATTTTCTGACACCCCGCATGCCAACTCACTCACTAATATTTCCACATTTGACGTACCAGCAATCGTAACACCTCAATCAGAAAAAATAGAATCAGCTACATCCGATCTATTACCAGCTCCTATTGTTATAGATGAGATACAAGAGCAAGTAAATGTTCCAGCATCTAAAAGATCTGAGGTAATAATAAAACTTCCGAGATTGGTAATTCCGTTAGGCGCAGAGCGCTCTGCGAAGCAGATAATATAATTCGAACTCTCCCCAAATCCATAAATGACAAACCTCGATCTAACGAAGTAACTACATCCCGGATACCTAACTCGAGAGCAGCGTGAGAAACGTCTCAGAGAATGGGCCATCGATCACGATGAAGATCCAGATAAATTTATGACGATAACTGAGAAAGATATAAATTTATCAAGGATATACCGAGATAGAATGATGTCCGATGCAGAAGTAATCAAGTTTGCGCGAAATGATGGTCTTGAGAAAAACTAATGGAAATGACAAGGCGAGAACGATTGATAAGTGAAGAGATATATTTACGTGAATGGTTATTTATGGTAAAATGTGTTTTCCACGTTCATTAACATATTGTAAAGATTGAACCCACATTTCCTTTATTTGTTGTCTCCAATACTATCCATTTCCAAGACATTCATAATCACGTGATACCGAAAAATCAGATTTAATCCTGTACGACTTACGCGTAATCGATTTCGAAAAGAAGGACAATTGAAAAGGAGAAGAAAAAGAAACGAAGAAAAGCGGGAGAAAAGAAACGAAGATGGAGGAAAAACTGGTTGAGAGAAATAGGAAAGAGAAAACTATTCAGGAAGAAATCGACGAGGCACACCAAGCCTGGTGTATTGCCGCGGATAAAGACGCAGACCTTAAATGTACTGCAGTACAAAACGATGAACCGCTTCAAGGTATGCTTTACATCTCTAAGCACTATCGCTATATAAGAAAAACGCCAAATATTTATGAACTTATTACTCTATACTTTCAGGGAAATTACTTTTAGAGCCCGCAACGAAGCTTTCAAATAAACTACCTTCGCTTTGGAATGAAGACGATGTTATGCCAATTGCAAAACTTCTCTCCGGTCGAACTGCTATCGATGGAACAAGGGATAACAGCAAGGGAGCTTGGGCCTTTGCCATGATAAGCCATGAATTCAATCTATTTTTAGATAAGCACGATGAGATACGCGGATTAATTGATCCAACCTATGTTGTAGCCGATGTTGGTGGGCAAGATTTGCCCAACTTTCAACTTAACTGCTACCCACCACCAGGTAGTCCGGTTAATGCATTGACACAATATTCAGGTTCAAATTATGTATGGGCTTTCAACGGCGCTGGGGGAATGAATCGAGCACAGCATTTAGTTGGCTGGATCCAAGCTTTGGTTCCTGAGATTAGATTATTCGTATTCAGCACTAACTCATTTGCACAATATTTTTAATTATTTCGCATTATTAAGATAAAAAATATCTGATAGGCTTCTCAGTTTCTTTTTTTTCATTAGTATACTTTGATGTCTGGAAATTAACGTTACTCTAGTTGCAAATAACAAGGGAATTTATAACGCACGATACACATCGATTAGATCATGTAAGGGTAGTACATACAGGTATTAATAAAAAAGGAATGATAATTTGATAAAGGGGGGATTTTTTGTCCCTTTATAATTAGTTGTATATAAATAAAAATATTGTGTCGTTATACCGATTTACCGTATTTCTTGAATAAATAAGAAATGCTTGTCTTTAATTTAGCGTTTTCTATTCAAAGCTAAGAATTATGCAGGGCTTGAAGAACCATACTTGCCATTCTTATCACTGTATATGTCCTTGGGTGCTCCTAGTCATGATTTCCAGATTATACACTCAGGCATGAAACTTCAAGGAGATGAAGAAAGTGTGCATATTAATATGGACAAGCAGGATCAAGTAAAAAAAAATGCAAGGATGAAGACTATGGGAAGTCCAAAAATGAGTATGCAGAATCAAATGAATATAGAAAGCTTCGAACAATGTACCAAACATTGTTGGCAATCTTTGGCATTTCTGATAATGTTTTTGGTTGTATCAATGCAAAAGAAAGCCAGCTATTGGTAAATTTGGCTGATGCACGGCCTGATCCTGCTAAGTTGTACACAGATAAAGAGGATGTTTCAAAGGTCAAGCAGATGGCACCTTTGGTATACAGTCCACCTAAAAAATGTAACATTCTTATTATTATACTAACCACAATACTGAACAGCATAAGCAATAACCCATTTGAAAAGCCAGAAACAAGTACAATTTATTGATAGAATTTAATATGGAATTTGTATTTGATATTCTGTTATTTTCAATAAGGTTTCACAATATTGGTTCATTAAATTGACAGGATTTAATAATAATGCTTTATTTTTTATTCAACATCCGGATTGTCAAACTTGGGAGAATATTTTGGGCTGTGCTAACTTCGCTAAGACACACCCCAAAAAATACGTAACAGTAGATGAGTCGGGGACTCCCATTCACTCTGTGCATTAAAATTGAATTCCACATTTACAACGTGTATAATCGGTACGTCTGAAACACTACATATAGTATAATACTATAACGCTATATTTTATTAAAACAATGCACATAACTGGTCATACAATAAATGGTTACTATTCAGGATTTACGCGGTCTGGACTGAATATATTGCTGAATGCCATAAGTTTGTACTGGAAAAACTCCCAGTGAGTGGAAAGAACAAATTAGAGCCCGTTTAACATATTTCAGAGAAAATGACCCTTTACCGAATAAAAATTATCTTCAAGCCAGAAAATTGATACAACACGGAACGATACTTCTTACTCGCCTGCAATTGGAATTGCAATCTGTTTCTCGTGTGATCAATTAGTATACATCGGACGGATAACCAAAAATATGGGGAATAATTATAATTTTATTGGAATAGAAAAACATTGGGATAATCATTGTACTGAAAATAAATTTTGCAGTGTGAATTACGAAAAATATTTAGAAAACCCAAATTTGAACGCAATTACGATGTCGACTTTGCTTTGCGCCGTTGTTTGCGAATGCAGTAAGAAAGGTTAAACGTGCTGTGAAAGTAGCAAAAAAGATTCGAGCATGTACAATTATACAAAGAAAGTTTATTGAATAATATTACCGTCCATCTGGAATTTGCGCCAAAAATTAGCTAAGCTTATGGACTGTTCGTGAAGAAATGCGACGCAGGCTATGATATACTAATTTGCGGTCCGCGGAGCATGTAATTTTCCAGTAAATCATAAATTATTATAGGGCAACGTTCGATAATCTAAATTTTTAAGATGAGCTGGAAAATGGTTTTGCGCTATATGACATTCCCTATTGCAGTATCAGCATAAAATTTTATATAAAATAATTTGGTTCCAGCGGTACTTTACTCTTTGGCATTAGCGAGTGCTATTTGCTTACGGCCAAACTATCATTGGCTGCGCCGAAACAAAGAAAATTTTATTCTTATACCTCTAAGATATTTAAAGACACAATAAGAAGCAGTTGTACGATATCATTCGCGATGGTTGTGGCAGGGTTTGTTTTTGGGAAAATCATATGCCAATCCTGACAAACGTCCAAATGCAAAAACGCTTCAGAATAATATTAACAAACTAGGTCTGATAAATTCAGCACTATAAGCAACTCACGGATTAAAATCTAAGGCTATAGATAAAAATCTTAAATATTATCATCTAGTTGGAGAATTTGACAATAAAGACGCACCCAAATTGCCACCATATCAAACAGAAGAAGGGCCCTTTTATGAAAATGGTGAGGATATACGTTATGGGTATAGTAAACTCTCTCCCGATGAACTAGAACCCCCTCCCAGTTCTGACTTACAAAATCGTCAGGATTTGTTTGATATTTGTTAATAAGTATGGGTAATCTATTTCAATGAGATAGTCTATAGTATATCTTAGAAAGGGGATTTTTTTTTGATGCTCAAAAATAATGTTTAATAAAAATCTAACTATACTAGAGAGGGTTTTTGTGTCTCCTAAAATGACACATACTAAAATTCTATCTACTCACAATCTTGGGTAATAAGCCCTTTTTGTCTCATTCGATAATTTAATGAATGAAATCGAGCAGAATGTTTTGGGCAGTACCCCGTAATAGTTATAGTAGGCTTTCTACAGATACCGCAAGGGATTTTCTCTATATTCTTCTCATATAAGTCCGATGTCTATAACAACCCATAGGGCGACAGCATTTGTTTCCGCAGACAGAACCATCTCTTTTAATATGAGGGCAAATAGCACGATCCATGAAAGTATTTTAGGATGCAATATATAATATGTATAAGATTCAAATATAAATATCAATTTAAATATTTCGATTGGGAGGCATTTATTTCACCGACAATCATTTCAACAGCCGACAGTCGTTTCGCGTGACACATTGTTTATCGCACTTATCATTGGTTTTCGATGATTGTCGGTAAAATGAACCGGATCCGAGCAAAAATATCCTTTGTCGTAACGACGAATTTTAGTGACGTGTTCCTCCTAGACAACGCAAGGATTTCATGTGTGGCACAGCCTGGATTCTAGTATGAAGTTTAATTTTGCAACAGCACCTGCATGTTAAATATCCTTGGCGTAACGGTGTTATATTTTTAACACGCTGTTAGAAAAATAACAGTCTGGAAGCACGAAGGCGATTACTTAGTGATAAAAGTAACAACCCAATAATCGTAGCTTGGAATTGTTGTTAAAAATAGGACAATTAGTAGCTCAGAAGATATAAAAGCAGCGTAGGAGTCAGCTAGTTTTTCGGTGTGTTTCAAGTGTCTTATAGTAAGAATATTATTATTATTTTCCGATTCCTTTATTATCTTATCAATAAACGAGTATTACATTTACTCTGATCATAAACTAATTTACGTATTTCCTCGAATTATTCGATATAGTTAGAATCACTAATCCCTATATCGGAGAAGGATAATCGATTCCTGTTCCTCAATTATCTGAGTAGCGAATTAAGATAATTAATTGTTGAGTAACGTGTTAATAATTATCTGTATTCTAAAACGGACAGACTGTCGAAATAATCCATCGGCAGATAGTCGTAACTAATTATCTCGAGAGCAATTAACTGTCTAGGATTTAGTGTCGCGATCCGGCAAACGGAAGTGCCGTCAGCGTAAAAGCCTAAACGAAAGTTCACTAACTGTCAGTCTGGTTCAACTCTTAGTAAGAGGCGCTACGCTCAATTCGAAGAAAGTTAATCCTTACGAGTCACGTGTCATTCCGCTCTCCCGTGACATTTGGCTCGACACCTATATTTTTGGTAATCTTGGTCGCTCTCAACAGCTCATCTCCCCAAGCAAATTAGGCAAACGTGTATACAAAAAAAGAAATCTGTGTAAAGGGAGATACCAAATTTGGCTGACCTACATTAATGATACCGATTTAAGGCATTTTCACTTTTTGTAAATTAG